TATGGTAGAGACTGAAAGACTGGAGGACATAAAAGCATTGTAAATTATTATGGACTCTGGAGACAAAGTGGAAGGGGAGTGGGAGAGGAGAAGAATGCAGGAAGAGAAATTTTGGGAAAAATTGAGAAACAAGACACCTGTGGGGCACAGATAAGGTGTATTGTCTATTGATGATGTCATGTATAGTGTTCTCAACTTGCCTGCTGTGTGATGCTTATCATATTGGGTAAAATCTCTTTACAATTTAAATGATGTATAATGATTAAATGTATAAATAATAATAAAACATAAAATAAAAGTATACTATTAAAAATATCTTATACTTGTCCTAGGTTCTTATTTCAATAAAAGAAAAGCCCTTCCCTATCTTGTTAATCATTATTTTTTCTTTACTATTTATAACTTTTAGTTTTAGGAATGTCATTTTTATGTTATTCAATAAACAAATAACTATACCCTGTAAAACTGAGGCAAGAAAGAGATTTCTAAACTTAATAGGACAAAAGAAAAGCTCCTTTCTTTTTATTTTATTCTGCTGCATTCATCTTAGATGCAATCCTCCTGGACTTCTTGCCTTTTTAGCTTAGGCAGAAATATCATATCAGGAATAGGAATCACTTGATGAAAAGAACTCCTCTTCCTGGACTCTCATTTCTCATCCATTTGCCCCAATTTATTAGCAGAAGATCCTAGGATGAACAGTCCCAAATTTTATTGAACCTCAAAGTTGAAATCAGTCTTTGGACTTCCTTTCTTGCCTTCACCCTGGAGAACAGATATGTCCTGTTGACATCCATGCAGCAACTGCCCTGGTGAAAATTGTCAAAGACCTGGACTTCTCCAAAGGCTATTGGAAAACAGGCATTCATTCCTCTTGATGAGTTCACAGCATTATATCATGTTCATGTTTTACTTAAAGTAAAAACAGCCCAAATGCCCAATCGATACAGATTAATTTGTAAGAACAAGTTATGACATAAATATTTATTCAGTGAGAATTAAAAAATGAGTAGTATTAAAGTTAGAGTTCCATTTATAATAGTTTATTGTGTCTCTGTATCTGTGAAATAAACTAGAGGTCTACTCTAAACAAAATGTTAACAATGATCATCTCTGAGTGGTTGACTATTAGGTAATTCTATAACACATACCAATATTTTAATTATGTTAATTACGCTCTTGTTCTTACCATAATTATTTATCAATTAATGCAGTGATTAAAAACCATGACTTCAGAGACTTAAGTGTATTCTTTTATTTTTGGTTATTGTCATGAAAGGAACACACGGGCAATTTTCTTTACTCTTCTGTGAGAAGAGTAAAGGATTGTACAAAGGTTTTTCATCTGATTTCTTTTCTATAACTTTATGCGTCATTTTATTTATAAAATGCACTGAGTGTTATACACCACAAAACATCATGGAAATTAAATAACTCATTAATAACAAG